TTTTGATATTGCTTTATTGCAATATTTATTTTCTTCATTGCGCTGTTGTCTGGTTCGTACAAATTCGCTGTAACATTCAGTTATGTTAAAAGCAAGATATAATTTGCATAAAACTTTCATTATCAAAAGAATTTTCTAAATAAAGTCAATGTAGCATGACTTGCTGGATCTGAATTAAATTTCATGAGGTTCTTAATGATGAACAAGAGAGAATAAGTAAAAAGAATAGCTAAACTTTCTAACAATTATGACAAAGAGGAAGTTTCTGGGTATTTTTTTCATCCATCCAAAATAAAATATTATTTTCAGTTTCTGCAACTGCAACAGTTGTAGGATATACTAAGAGATCTGATCACATACTGGTCAGAATTTTAAATATTTCTGAATTAATTTTTGTAAGCACAAATTATTAACTGTTCTGGATAGCTAGCTATAAAAATACAAAAGGTGTATTTTTCCATCCTTATATTGCATGTATGTGTATGTTTGTGTATTATTATGTATCACTTTTTAGTCAAATATGTTAATATGGATATTTGTATGCATGTGTAAGAGTGTTTAACTATAGAATATAGCGATATTGTAGAATATATTTATTAGACATGTGATATACTGAACTAATTTCTGGGTTTGTATTAACCAGAAACTAATGGCCTGCTGTGTCTGTAAAAACACGCTAGGCTGAAATGTAGTTGACCAACCTGTATCAGCAAACATAAATTTGCAATACTGGAATGAGAAAAAGGATAATGAAATGTATTGTAATTCCAGTAGTAATGAAACACAAATCATTCTTTTTTTTATCAAAATTTATCCAACTCTTTTCTGAACAAAAACCATAGCCATTTGGAATATAATAGAAATTGTATGCATAACATCACATTTCAATAGTAAAGATGTACCTAAGAGCAGTAATTGGGGTTGATAGATCCTCTTGGGAAAGCCTTTTAATAAGGTTGATCCCTATTGACTAACATTTCAACAGACATCGTAAGCATCTGTATTTTATCTTTCAGGAGTTACAGTTTGAGAGACTTACAAGAGAACTTGAGGCTGAACGTCAGATTGTAGCCAGCCAGCTGGAGAGATGTAAACTTGGATCTGAGACTGGAAGCATGAACAGCATTAGGTACTTAATCAGAATGATTTTATTATTTTTGCATAATAAATTGAAATTGATAATAGATTGTATTGACCATCCTCTCGTGATGCATTGCATATCAGAAGGTGTCTAAATAAAGCAGTAAAGCAAAATTATTTTAAAGTTACATTATATGTGTTACCTGATAATGAATTTGAGCAAAAACTAATAGCAAAAACACACATTGTGAAAACTGGGGAGGTGATGAAATAGCATGACATATAAAATTGCTAAATTTAGCCCCTTTAAAAAAAAAGAACGGGTAAGAAAACAATGTGAGAAATAAATTCAGTGCTGTAGAATTTGAAAATGCAGAGTGCTGCGGATCATTTGCTGCCATACAAAAATAATAATCTTTTGATCGTTTTTCAGTTTGATCATTTTAAACAAATAAATACTTGCCTTAAAATATCTGTAGTTTTAATTGTTCTGTTTTTTTTCTGGTATTTTTGCTATAGAATTGCCAACCTTAAAATGAGCATCGTGATTATAATTTTGCTACTTGATTTGATTTTTAAAGATGTAACTTAGCTAGTTGAAATGCATAAAGTAATGAATTTGTGTTGGTTTCTTAGACTGCTTTTTTAATGTATGCACAGTTAGAAGCACTTAGTTCAGCTTAGGTAACCCCATAACATTTAAGCAGAAATGGGCCTGGGAGATATCAAAAATGCCCATCACTGGCATTCAATATACATCTCAAAATAGGTAATGGCAAATCTCATCTGGAGTGATGTTAAGAAAACTACATGCATGTAAACCCTAGAAGAGTGGTGGCGAACCTATGGCACGCCTGCCACATGCGGCACTAAGAACCCTCTCTGTGGGCATGTGCGCTGTCGCGCCAACCCCACCTCTCCCCACAGCTCCCTCACCAGCAGCCCCCCCAGAGGAGAGTTGCCCCCGAGTATGGCCCGCATGGAGCAGCGCAGCCAAGGACATGGCAGCCGGGCAGTGGGGAAAAGATTCTGCCCTTACGCCCCATCGCACGCAGTTGATGCTGCGGGGTGCGGGCAGAGGGCATGGCTGCCATGGCGTTGCTGGGCTGCCTGGGAGATATGCGGCGGGCTGTGGAGGTGGTGAATGGCCCTGCAGGTGGGCCAGGCGGGGGTGAAACGGGCAGGACAGGGGCAGAGTGGGGAGGCGGGACAGGGCAGGGCCGGTTTTGGGGGTCTCTAAAAGATTCACCATCACTGGCCTAGAAGTATCCAATGGGAGTCTACCCTTGTCTAGCCAAAGATAGAAAAATAGAATATTGCATGAAGTAATTTAGTAAAAAATTGTAAAAATAATTTAGAAAGGGGTTTAAATTCCTAGTTGTTGAAATAAGCTGATAGAAATTTGAAAGACCTGAAAAATAAAGTGAAATCATTGCTTTTAATAAGTGATCAAATACATGTATTCATTAAATGTTTTTGATTTAGTTAATACACGGAGAAATTTATATTTTTTCCAAATCTGCGTATTTTATTTCAAGATATATGCATATCCTCATTATCTCTAAAATAGATTTGACAAAGCACTCTCCTTGGGGCTGTCTTTAAAAACTATCTGGAAGCTGCAGTTGATACAAAATGCAGTAGCCCCTCTGTTGCAAGAACAGCATTTTTGCTCTATATGGGTTACTAGTGGGCTTTCAAATACAATGCATAAATGCAGGTTTTAACATAAAATACCTACATGTCCAGTACCATCTTTTTCTGGTAGAACTCACCTGCTACACATCCCAAATTAGAATATTGATTATTCCTCTTTGAGGTTTGTAGTTGTAGAGTTCATTGAAACAATTAAAAAGGGTCAGTTTTCATTATACCCAATATCCTAAATCTGTAACTTAGTGTATATGTATTTTAAATGAGGCTGGATGTATGTTCACTTGAAAATATGACTGAACAAAGTATCACCTGAACAGATTTCATTTTAAAGAATTTAATTCATATGTAAAGTTCAGAATCCAATATTTCATGGGTTTCACAGTTTTCTATTATATTTATGTTCAACAAACAAAATATGGGATTTTTAAAGCATGTTTAAGAAATGCATGTGGTCTGACTCAAACGTAATACAGTATTGTTGTGTTGAGTTTAATATATACTCAGTCCCCTCCTCCCACACCCTCTCCATCCTTCTCTGGTATGGTCGTGTTTTAATTCAATGATCTGAATACAGAGAGTGTTACATTGGGATGGCCTGTGCTAGTAGACTTTCGGATCCAAATGGATTGTCTCAAACCATTTCCCACTGATGTTTGTCATCCCTTTATTTGCCATGTTTTGAAATGATATCTTTTTTTTCTTACATGCAGAAGTTCCTAAATGCTAGTTTTCAGTAGCAATGCCTATGTTATGGTATAGCCCTCCCATAGAAGCCCAACTAGCCTTGCAGTTTTAATCTTCTAGAGACTTTTGAAAACTGAATTATTCCATTGAGCCTATGATGAATGATAGGGCACACTGGGTTCTTTGACTTAGTTTACAATATTCTCCAGTTTATATCCATTCATTCAGAGTTATGGTGGTGCTGAAAAAATGAACGTACAATTGGTCATCGAAGTTGTAGCTGTTGCAATTGGTCCTCAGAGTTCTGGCCATTGCAGCATCCCTTTAATAATGTGATCATGATTTGGGCATTCAGGTACTTGGCTTGTGATTATGCCATCGCAGTGATGTCGGCAGGGAAAGCTGCAAGTCACCCCAGTAAGTTGTTCCTGTTGCTTTTTCTTCTGCTATGGAATACAAGATCCTAGGGATCTCATACTCCATAGCACCACCCCCACTCCATAGTGTACATCTGACCGCAGCACTCTACCATAGTGTCAACCAACCTGCCCAAAGCCTCCATCAGCCCTCCATTCGTCTCCACCAGACTGTCCATGTCTACCGGCATACCTAACATTCACTTGAAAGGAAATAAAACCTTTCAGTCTCACAGCTGCAGGAGGAAGGAGAACTGATTAGAGAAAGACTTGTTCCCCAAATAGTAAACTTTGACTAACAGGACAATAGCTGTGTTCACCCATTTTGTTAAATCATATGCTGTTTATCTTTGTTCTATTAAATAAAACACCGTTGAATAAATTCATAAAATAAACCATGTTTTACAAACCACATACCCCATCAAAGCTTCGGTATTTGCTAGTTTTAGATATCAAGAGCTGTGGTGACGTAGTGATTAGAATGCAGTATTGCAGGCTAACTCTGCCCACAGAAGCAGGAGTTCGATCCTAACTGGCTCAAGGTTGACTCAGCCTTCTATCCTTCCACGGTCGGTAAAATGAGGACCCAGATTACTGGGGGCAATATGCTGACTCTGTAAACTGCTTAGAGAGGGCTGTAAAACACTGTGAAGCAGTATATAAGTCTAAGTACTATTGCTATCATGCTAAGCAATAATGTAGTATATTTGAAAGAGGAAAATTCTCTTTGTTTAAAGTTATAATCTGAATTTTGAAAGACTTACAAATGTGTCTTATATGAACTGAAAATTATTATTACTATAGCATTGAGATATTGATTATATGATTATTTATTTATTTATTTTTATGCATTTGTGATTATTTAATAGACATGCAATAAGGCAAAATGTAACTAAGGTACTTCATAGCATATAGGTCTTTTTAAAAGATTACTGTTCTCAAGATATGTATTTGCTTTGGACAGAATATTGCTTCTAACATTCATTGATATTTTCAAATAAATTATTTACAAGAGAGCTAGTTCTTTTTTCTTGTAATGCCTACCACTTTATATTTTACAATGGATAGTAAATAATTAAGAAAATAAATATATTTCCATTCAACTTCTATAAAAGCTCTATGCTATCTTCTTTTATGTGCTACTATGCAAATGTACAATGCTACAAAAGAATGTGCAATAATAAGCAAAATTAATACAGGAAATATCCACTCTAAATTCTGCAGTTTTCATATTATTCATTTTTAAAAATTGCCTTTAATGATTTGATTGAATGGGATTTGAAGTTGTTTATCACAGGAAAGAATAGTGTTTTCCGTTTTCTGCAGTGTGAAAGCAGTGAGAGAAGATGAACCCACCCTTAGAATTTAGGATACTTTGTTGATGTATTCCACTGTAGCACATATTATACTGGTGTAAAATAACACATCCTTAATCACATATAATAATTTTATAGCATCTTTCACAGCAGTTAACTGTTCAGACTCAGATTAATTACATAGTATCAAGCAGATTCAAACTGCTTTGGTTTTATTGCAGACTTAGAATGGATCACAAGAGTATTGGGTTAAGTATCTCCTTTGACTGCTAGACTTATTTGACTGCTGAGTAGCTCTTTATCACTTCTTTTTAGTTTCTGTTAATGTTCTTGCATTCTTGAATTTGGTAGCATGTGAAATTCACAGTGAGACTGTATCAGGCACTTGGGAGAAGATGGACTCAGTGTCATGTCTTACTCATTTGTATGCTGCTACAACCCTACGCATAAAGAAAATCAGTTACCATGGGATTTGGTATTGGAGACTCTGAATCAGAACAAAGACGCTATAAAGCAATTACAAAGAGCTCTACTGAATGGTTTCAAGAAAGACTTGGTAGTGATTTTCCAGTTGAGGAAAGCTTGGAAATCATGAAGTATATTACTTTGTTACAAAAGTGAAAGTACAGAAAATCATAACTTACTCACTTTAATGTCAAATGGCTTGAAACTTGTATAAAATAAATTTTAAATCCTAAGCAAGAATTTGGATATTAATGCACAAAACATGCTAATTGTGATCAATTAAAAAAACAAACCATTTGGTTTTGTTTTATAGCAGAATGACATTTAGCTTGCCAAAACATTAATACTTCATATAAATAGATCAGGAGTAACTGTGAAGAATGGTTTGAAATACATGTGAGAGACAGAGCAGGGATAAGACCAAAGGGGAGTCTTTTTGCAGATAGAAGTATGGATGTAGACTTGAAATTCTAGTCGCATTTATCCAAGTGTTTTTTTGTCTTTAACACAAA